ATCCTCCTGTATTCCTTCTGGGGTACTTTCCATCATCAAGATAGGCATATACAATCTAGAGTAGTAAAGCTGTTGGAGGTTTGAATAGAATGGGGAACATTTATGTAGTCAGACAGTGTAGCCTTAATAGGCCTAGAAATGGACTCAACTTGTGTTGAGATTGGGGATTTTGGAATATTCTTATGTGGGTAGAGATCCACTACAAGGGAGATGACCTTCCTTTTATCTATTTAAGTATTCACTTGGTTTCCCATTTTTATGGCAAGTGGTTGGGGAGGAAGAGGGGTTGTGCTTCACTCCTTGAGGTCTAATCCCCGGGTCCTTGTAACACACAATCTCTTTTGATGTGGAGGTCAAAGCTTGTGGATCATCTCCAGTACTTGTTGAAAAAGGGTTTGGAATGGGAAAGCAAACAACAGTCTCAGAGCAAGTTTTCTTCCTTTTAACCAGCTACCAAGGTTGGGTAGAAGTGTCAACAGAGACCTGCTTATTCTTCTCAAAGTTTGAACCCTTGTAACCACAATTATCATTAATGTGACCAAAGGATGAACTCTAAGAGCATACTAATGGGAGCCAAGTGTATTGAACCTTGACAAAAACCAATTCCCCACACTTTTTCCTAACTTGAAAACTGCATGACAGAGAAGAAGAAAGAGTAATGTCTACATACACCCTTGCGCGCATAATCGATTCTGCTCCTATTCCGGGTGTTAGCATCAGCATAAAGGGGTTTACCAATGGCACTAACCACATAGCTAAGCCCTTTTGGTGACCAGAATTCCAGAGGGTTATTCCACAGTTTGATCCAAACTGATACAGCTTTTGATTGCTTTCTTGATTAATCTGTAGGAGATGGTGAGTCTGATTGCCAAACCCTTAGTGAGATGGGTTTACCACCAAGGAACCATTGTCTCCCAGCCGAAATACTCAAACAACTATCCTCATTGTTAAACGTGAAGAAGAAGGTACCCTCTTTGTTAACCACAACTTTCGGTAGACCTCTGTTGCCCCACAGTTTGTGTGTCATTGCTGAAACTTGTTTAAATGGCATCCTTTTCTGAAACGACCCTACAAGGCATTTCCTCCAGTAAGCTGCTCCTTCTCACCCACCTCGTCTGGTGGTTCCTCAATAAGAAGTCCCTCTCTCTCACCAGGTTCGAAGAACTGAAAGTTCCACATGTCATTAGGGGCTTAGGCTACAGAAGACTAGCTTTTAGAGTCACTTTCCATCTTATTTTCCTTCGTATGTGGCCCTTTATGTGGGTTGGAGCAAAAAATGGGCTCATGTGCATGGTCATTAGCTTGTAAGGGACCATCATGCTGAGGTAACTGAGTCGTAGGACATGTTTGGTTAGGATGCAATGGATTTAGTTGACTATTGTTATAGCCTAACATCTAGTTACCTAGGATAGGGTGTCCAAAAAGATAAGTTATTGAAATTGTTGACAGGATGTGAGGATCCCCCTAATCCAGGGATCCCGCAGTCTTGTAGTGGTTTGAAATTATAGAAGGAAAATCATTACCCATACATTTCCTATCTTGGGCCGGTGGCGCGTAAGCAACCATCAAAGATCCACCAATCATGGTAGGTGGTGAGGATGGTGCAATAGGTATGTCAGAATTGGGATCAACTGGACATGAGGTACTAGAGACCTTTTACAATTTAGCAACAGTGTCCCTAAGTGAAGATAAAACAGATGATAATAAATTTGAAGGGTTGAATTTAGATTTAATTGACAAAAGCTTCTCTTCCAAGCATTTAATTGCCTTCCGAAGCCTATCCACTTCTTCAATAAGCTCAAACTTTGAGGAGTCCATAATGGATGCATCAATGCCCTCCGGAAGGTACACATTATCATTGATGACTTTGCTTGAGGGGTTAAATAACCTATCCTGCTGTAAAGCATTCAGGACATTTGTCTTGGTAAAACCAGTGATGGATGGAGGTTTTGGCTTGAGGTTAGATGGTGGTTTGGATAGTTGTAATGTGCTTTGTGTTGCCTGTAGCTGAACATCATGTTTCTCGATCAGTCCTGAGGCAAGACTCATATTCGGATGCATTGGTGGCTTACGCGAAGAGAACTGGTGTGATACTGCTTGGTTATTGTCTGTGGGATGAGGAATAGAAGGAGAAAGTAGTGGTGGTTTTGTTGGTGGCCGAAACGGTGGCTTAAAGTGGTTAGGGCTTGGGTTTTGAGCAGAGGGTCTCATGGCTTCCTTTTCACCTTTATGTTCATATGATTAATTAAATTACTTAAATAATATGATCAATTTAAACATCCACCATCACAAATATAAATACTGAAAAGTAAAGCAAGTAAGGTTAGAGAGATTGCACTAGAATTTTTAGCAAAGAAACCCCAGTTGGTAAAATAGGCTAACTGTTTACGTGGGAAAAACCTCGTGGCTGACTATACAATCCAAAGTGAATCGATCCACTATGTTTGAAACAAAGTACACTGAACTTTGACTTAGTCTCACACTCTGTCATTTTACCAAACACCAATCGCTGACAATCTTCTGGTTTTGCGACGTCTCATCCAACAGCACTTGGCCTCAGGTTTATTCTTGATCTCTGTAAAAGGATCGCTGGTAGATCAAACAACACTCCTCGAATGCTTTGACCCTTTCAAAGTGTGATCGCTTTTACCCTTTTTCTTCAAGATTTGAACTCGATGTAGAAGAAGTAAATCCTGTCTTTTCCGAAATCTCTTAATCTTCAATTAAGCTGCAATTCCGATGAGATAGAGAACAACATTACTAAATCACTCATGAATATATTTATGTGCTCTCAAAAATAAATTTAGAATAATCAGATTTGATTTTCTGAATTTTCTCTCTCTAAAGGCTTTCTCAAAATAATGATTTTATGTTCCTGAAGCCATACCTCAATAATGAATGAAAGAGGCATTATATAAAAGTTTGGAAGACTTAATCATACTTGTAAAACAAGTAGAATTTGTGCATAGGTTAAGGAAAGAAGTCTAGTCCAAAAATGAATCAAAACAAATAAGGAAACTTGTTTTTCTAAACTGTGCATGAAACCTTGAAACAATTCAGGGGTTGTTGAAACAGGTTCAACAAGGCTAGAGAAAATTTTGAATTTCCTCTTTGACTCTTGAACCGGTTCAGCTTTCCTTAAACCGGTTCAAGATGACCAATCTTGAATGTTCACAACTCTGCTGATGTTGAACATGTTCCCTTAATTCTCGAACCTGTTCCCGGCCTCAGATGTTTGAACATGTTCCTTTAATTGCTGAACCAGTTCAACTTGGATAGAATATAATTTCTCCTAAGGAAAACTTCCAAAGTCTTTTTAGTGTTCTTACTAACTCACAAAACTTCCTAAAACTTTGCTCTCATCATCCCGGAGTATAGTAAACCATGAACACTTGAACTTTTTCAAATCCGCATCTGATCTTCAATCTTGAAATTTTGAACCGAAAAATTACAACTTGATCAGACTTATTTTGACAACGAAATTAGTCAATTACAAAATATATATCTCACATTGTTTGTCTAGATAGTAAGCGACAAAGAGGCCGACCAAAGCTTAAGTGATAAACCCTAAGGGGTAGGCCTAGTTAAAAAAGACTTGGGCCCTGGTGCCTCACGAAGCATTAAGAAAAGATATAATTTATAATAATAATGGAAAAAGAGAATTCATGTGCCACCCCATACATATAAGACAAAGACAAGGATAATAATGACTTTGCAAGCGTCTGAGTCCAATTGTTCAAGTATTGTGCAACGAATAACTGCAGTCTAGACTATATGCATGTATTCATACAACATGCCCATGTAATATCCTCTAGGGCTTTTATATAAACATAGAAGTAAGGAAACTAACATCTGCATGATGAAATCAATATTACTGAACAATTTTATGGACAACTAATTAGAACACATCCTCATATGAGAATTGGAAAATTAATCAAATGAGGGAATGTGCATGTTTACATCTGTTTATGATTCTCGATTCACAAACTCAAGTTTTATAATTAAGGAGATCCTGAAAGAAACGAAATGACTTTGCCCAAATAGATCTTATGGCAGTTGGTAAATAGATCTAAATAGATTTATGTGTGTGTACATATGGCTTTCTCTAGAAATTGTAACATGATTATATCATCTTTATAATTCATATTGCTTGAATCTTTGTCAAACTAAACTAAGCTGCTGTTGGAAGTGGAAGCCCGATTTTGAGCTTTTTCACCTTCACAGTAAATATTAACAGAAACAAGAAATCAGAATTTTTCAAAAGGGAAAATTATAGTTGTGCATGCCAATAAATGCAATTTTGAATTAAAAGATAATTTGTGCATATATAGTTGTAGAAATCTGTTGCCAAAAAGATCATATAAGTATGAAGTGTTAATTAGATTCTACATGCAGGAAAACACAATCTTCAAAGTGAAACTCATTAAGAGGTCATAAACAATTAATCTGTGGGGTTTGTATTCGACACCTTAAGACAGGCAAAACACAAAGAAATATTGCGTGTTAGTATAACAATGTTCCATTTAATACTTAAAGACATGCAGATACAAAAACCAATTAAGTCATATATTCATTAATTCAAAAGCAATGATAAATATGGTGAAATGGTGTACCAAACAAAGTACGAGTTCTCACGATTCGAGTCTAGCTAAGAATATCTATTTAATTATTCTTTTCGGTATGTAAGCAACACTCACATCCACACACTGACACACAACTTACCCAAAAAAAAAAACACAGACGCACACACAGACGCACCACATTTGTTACCTTATGTGGTCCTCTAACCACTCGGCTTCCTCTTTGTGCATGAAGGAGAGTTCATACCACCTTCGCCAATGGCCTTGTGTTGAGCTCCTACTTAATTTGGGTAAAATGATGTGATAGTTTTGCCGCCAATTTTTCTTCCAAGCTTACCGAATGCACATTCATTCCGAAGCAAATTGTTTCTTTGTAGTTAGCTTTTCCACAAGTTGTTAAGGAAGTGAAGAGAGAAGACAAGAAAGAACAACACTTCGATTGTTTACGATAAGATAAATACATATGTCATCAACCCTATATATGCTATCACTGTCTATAATTAACAAGCTAGCATGCAATCTAGGGTTTCCTTACCTGATGCATATATTTTCCATACATAAAACAAATTAATTAGAACGATATCACACACAAAATATAACAAGTACAACCTATTTTAATCTTGATGTACTACTCTATTGATCTAGAGAAATGATTATTAAACCCTTTTTGATCATCAGTACTCAAAGCAGCCATGGTTGATGTGAGTCCACCTTCCCAGACATTGCCATAATTGAAGGTCGGCATGGAAGATACTACCGGTTGGGAAGAAGATGGTGCAATCAAGTTACTGAGCTGTTGATTGGCAAACACATCCTCGTTTATCAAAGAATTCAGAAATGAAGAGAATGGATCATCATTGCAGTACCCAATATCCTGTCCATTGTTGCTATAATTTCCATGATTGTTTTGTGATTCCATCATCAGCCCAACATAATTTTGCCTCTTCTGATCATTATCATCATTGACGACAGGCCGGTTTTGATGGTGATCAAGGTTAGTAGCTGCGGAAGTTGCAGCAATCCTGTTGGTGGTGGATTGATTGCACCCGCGGATTTGCTCTAATCCCAAAGAATTAGGGTTAGGGTTGGGAGTCGGGTTGAGATTTGGTGATGTGGAATCAACATTTCTTGAGGAGTTGAGGTTAGGGTAAAGCTTGAGTGGCTTGTGAGTCCTTGGATCTATTCCTTGCCTGATGAGCTTCTTGCTTAGATGCGTATTCCAGTAGTTCTTGATCTCGTTATCTGTACGTCCTGGGATTCTTCCAGCTATCAAAGCCCACCTATACAGTGCAAAATCCCATTTCAGAAACACCCAAAACCCCACACACACATGGCACCTATATATCGTGTGGTTGGGATTAAAACACACACATATATAAGAGGGATAGATACCAGACAGAGAGAGCTAAAACCCAAACAGCTGTTGAATATGGTTGCGATTAAAATAGATACATATATAGATACTTTTAAGAGACAGAGGAAGAGTTGAAACCTAAAAAGTTTCGGAAAAAAAAACCCTAAAAAGATACATGGATGACACCTATTGAGTAATCTTGGAATTAATATACATATATACATATGTGTGTACATATATGAGAGAAAGATAGAGGTAAAACCCTAGAAGGGTAAAGAAGAAATAAGTGATGTACTCAAAGGATGATTGTGATTTGAGAATTTAAGGTATCGCGAAGTTGCAAAAGGAAGACATAAATATGATCGAAGCAATCCTATATATATATAAATACCTATTTCCAAGCAATCGGTGAAGGCGAAGAATGAGATCTTCCTCGTCAGGAGCGATCTGGCCTCTCTTAACGTTGGGCCGGAGATAATTGACCCACCGGAGCCTGCAACTCTTGCCGCAGCGGAGCAAACCGGCCCTTTTGGGAAGCGTACGCCACCGTCCTTCGCCTTCTTTCCTGACGTAGTTAGCTAAAAGGTCATCTTCCTCAGGTGTCCATGGCCCTCTCTTCAGTCCCACTTTGGTGCAACATGGAGTTTTGCTGCTCGTTGTTGATGATGATGATGCTGTCGCCAAGGATGGGTTTCTCATCTCTTCTTTTTCTCTCTCTATAATTCTCTCTCTATATGTAGGTTGATTGCTGATAGTGAAGTTTTTTATTTGAGCAAATGGATGAGGGAAGTTTAGGGTTGGCGGTGGCTCTCATTTATAGAGAGATGGGAAGGCCATGCTTAAAAAGACGAACCAAAAAAAAACAGACATGGGGCCACGTTTTTTCTTTATCTTTTTTCTTTCTATTTCTGGGTCTATGGATAAAAGAGGAAAAATAGATACAAGTCATACATGTGATACTTTTTTTCAACATACAGCGGTAGTTACTTGTAGCATCTCTGATGGTTGTATATATATTTTTGTGCAAATTTAAGGTGTTATAATAAATTTGTATAAAAATTTTAAATTATTTATTTTTATCTTTAGTAATTATTTTATATCTTTTGTTTAAAAATATATCTCAATAACAACTAAATAATGTCATGGACCTCACATAATTTTTACAAACCTATTTAATATATAATTAATTCGTTAGTAAAATGAAAAAGAGTGAGAATAAAGAAAATACGTTGATGTGATTGTATAAAAAGAATGTGTAAAATATACAACAATTTTATACATTAGTAATGTTGCATTGTATTTTAACAAACTAAAAAAAAAAAAAAAAAAAATTAAACATCCGGCAATATATATTTACACAAAAAAAATATATATTTTAACATGTTAGTGAAGATGCTCTTATAGTTCACGAAGTCCTTTACTGAAAGATGATGATATGTTGTTTTCTATTTTTGTTTTTGTTTTTATTTTATTTACTCATTTCTTTATCTTATCTTCTTATTCTTCTCTTTTTATTTATTTATTTCTAAAATTTTTGGAATCTGTGATGATCGATGTTGATTATATTAGAATTTGGAGTGACCAATAAATTTAGTTCATGATGGATTTAAATTTTCATAAGCTGCCACAATATAGATAAATTGAAATTAGAATTGTTGGATATATAAGAGCCTCACATAATTAATCTAGTTTCTACTAATTAAATTAAAATAAAGGTTACTATCTATGATCTTTTTTTTTTTTTTCGGTAAGTTACTATATATAATCTTCCTTTATCACATCCATATCCATGACGGAAGAACTAAATAAATAAGACATTGTAGTGTAAAAAAGCTAAATAATAAGGCTTATTGGATTGGAGGCTCGTAAAAATTCTATTAACTAAAAAAATTTCCTTCCATTCTATATATAGTTTCTAGGCATATATGCATTGATTTAATTCAGTACTCTCAAAAGTAATATTATATTATTTTAATCTATGTATTTGAAATTTAATGAAGTGTTTAATTTGAATTTTATCGCCATAAGTGCTTTACTTTATAAAATCAACAATATTTTATGGGATTATGATATATGATACCCTTTTTTCTTTTTTTTTCTTTTTCGTTTTTTTTTGTCAAATATGATGCCCTATTTCAAATTTTCAATCCACTGAATCTACGTAGTAATAATTGATATGAGATGAACATATAAATATATTTTGTGATGTGAATGATTAAGTTCTTTTTTTTTTTTTTGTGATATCATTGTTATTAATATTATAATTATTTTGGGTAATTGGTAAGAGAAAATAACTGAACAATGAAGGCTCAAAGCCTAAATAACGCACTAGGCCAAACAACAGCATAGCATATATAGACTGAAGTCACTGAACGTGATTGAACCAAATAATCCGCAGTGGCTTGTGTACTGTGATATCATTACGATTGTTGATTGTATTAATTAACGACTAATCTAAACAATTAGTAAGTGGCTTCTCACGAGTCTTTTAATTAATTTATTAATTTGTACTTTTTAACTGATTATTTATTTTCAAAAAGGGAATAAAATATATATATATATATATATATATGGAGAGATTTCATTTCAAATCACAATCTGGAAACTATTTTAGACGAAACTTTTTCTACTACGCCACCCTCTTTTTGACGTCGGTTAATATTAGTGGACTCCAATATTGATATGAAATTAAGATAAAAGATGTTGATTTTTCGCATCGTATAGAAGTTTTGAGAATAGTAATAATGTGTGTGGTGAAGTAGTCAGATTGGTTTGACACAAATGCTAATTTACATCACCTTCATCGCACAACCCAATTAATTGTTTTTTTATTAACAGGATTTGTAAATTGTAAATCAGAGCTTGCTTGACCTTTTAAAATTACATCCATTAAGTCACAAATCACAGCCCATATATATTTTTAAATTACTGATTGTTTGTAGCTTGCTTGCGTGGGCAATACTCCGCAACTAATGAGCAGCGCGGATATAACAAAATGAAGGCGTGGGTAGTCTTGAAAGCCTCTACTTGACTTTAGTTTCTTCAGCTTCAACGAGCTGGGTTTAAACTTTAAAGCGTCTGGCCTCTGTTTTGACTAAAGACTTTTCCCAAAGATGATTCGATTTCCTGAAAATGAACAACGTAAATGTGTAAATTTTTTGCCAACGTAAAATATAATAATAATATTTATATTTATTGATAAGATAGAAAAGAAGTAAATTTAACGGATCAATGATTTAATAGTATCGAATTCCTACTTTTCAAATAAAAGTTAGGATTCGAGTTTCAGTGAAGAGTGACTTGTCCATGAACTATATTTCTTGCTCTACCACTTGTTCTAATTTCATCAAAATAGGTGGGGAAAAATTGAAGTTTCCATTGGATAAGTCAGTAGGTTAATTTGTTGTGAAGGTAAAAATAAATTTTTTTTTTGCCATGGTTAAAAAAGAAAAGTATAATTAGTCATGTTTAACTAGGATGATTTATATGAACATGACCAGTTTTATGAAACGAATTCATTGTATAGAAGATTAAGTATAAAACTCAAATCCTATAAATTGAACGGGTCAATAAACACAACCCAAATATTAAAATATGACAATAAGCTTTTGGCCTAATTTTGGTTGGTCAAAATTGCCATTCAAAATCAAAGATACTTTTATCCAACACGTGTCAAAACTAAACTATGGAAATACGTCGCACTGGATCGTGCTTTTGTTGACTTTTATGCTGACCGGTCGTATTCATTCCTTTTACCCATCAACTTGTACACCAAATGGATAATCTATTTCGTAAAGATGACATTTATTTCCTTTGCTGGTCGACGTTTTTAAGTAGGTTTCTTTTTTGTCGACAACAATTTAAGACGTACGGTTGCAATTCGAAATTTCCGATGGGATATACTTAACTGTAGCGGGTATCTCTAGTTCTAGTTCAATATAACCTCATATTTAAGAAGCTCAATCCTCTCTCGCATCACCTTGGTGTTGTAAATTATTTATTTATTTATTTTATTTATTTACGTGCCTACGTTTATTTTTATTTTCAACATATTTATGATTTAACTAAAGAGTTATATCTATTTTCAATATATTATTTCGGGTTAAAAATGTTTTAAAATGTAGAATAAATATGTTAAAAATAGATGTGAATTTTTTTTTTTTTTTTTTTTAAATGATGAAAGTTAAGCAACCAAGGGCAAAGCCCAACCCAAGGACAAGCTCAGTCAAAATTAAGAAGATAACCACCACAAACGGCCTGATCAGCCGTTAATGGAGGCTGTCCGCAATTCATTCCGATAAACAACCAAAATTCTTGCAGCTATGCTGCCACAACTTAGTCCGATGGACATGGTGGGGGTCGACAACATGATGGAGAGACATTCCATTACTTGAGGATCAATTTAGTTGAAAAGTGATCTCTTAGAAACCCCAGTTTCAACTCTGTAAATTCAAAAACATTCCTCTCTTCCCAGGTATGATACACCACTAAAGATAAGCACAACTTCCTCTGTAGATTAGTAGGTGTATTTAATTGTTTTCCATTTGTAACTGATCCACATTACTAAAGCTTCCCAATTTGTAATTGCATGCAGTGAAGATGTTGCATTTGTATCTGATAAATCTCCAAATGGTGATATGAAGGTGCAATTAAAGAATAGGTGTTCATGTGATTCAAGTGAATTTTGGCATAAAACAGATTATATTATGATGTTTGGCTTTTGATTTGCTATCAAAAGTTGACAATTTGGATTGGACAGCCAGTTAAAGATTGAACTTTATTCTTTGGATTGTGGGAGATTGCCAAACCAAGTTGTGCCCATGGATAGATGGCAACTCACTTGCTAACTATGCTGCAGTGTACTTGAATGTGTACAGACCAGATGGAGATGCAGTCCACTTTTTAGTGTCTCTTCAGGATAAGTATGGTGGAGGTACGGAGAACAATTCAAGTATGACATTGGTGATAATAACAGGGAATACCCAATTGTTGTTTATAATGAAACTATCCACTGTCGTGCCATCATTAAATACAACTTATGTGAGAACAATGAGTGGGAATCTTGAGCTAATAGGCCTTCCTGGAGCCTTGTTGTCCCACTAAAAGGATGTGTTAGCACCATTGCCAATAGTGTTTTTGATGAGAAGCCTTGCAAGATGCCTAAGTTGAAGGATTTTCCTCCAACTCCAATAACAAGGCTATAGGTATTTGAGTGTCCAAAGATTTCTAAACTTAAGGATGTGACATTGGCACCAATTGACCCAAAGTCTATTTGAATCATCTATTAGCAAGTTCCAAATATACCTTATAATCCCAGCTCTATTTGCAACCTTCAAATTAGGAATCCCCAACCCACTTGCAACTTTAGGTCTACAAACCATACTCCAAGCAACTTTTGTACCAAAAGATTTCATTTCTGGACCTGACCAAAGAAAACATCTGAATATCTTGTTGAATCCATCTATTACTCATTTTGGTAGAATAACGATATTGCACCAGTAGTTTTATGTAGAGACTAACACAGCTTTGATTGATTGCAGTCTTCCTGCATATGAGAGAGATTTAGATGCCCAATTGGAGATTCTATGTGTGATTTTGTTTATCAATAAGTTGCAATCTTGTGATTTTAAGTTGGTAGTGCTCAATGACACCCCAAGATATCTCACTGGGAGAATGCCAACTTCAATGCCAACTAGTGAAGTAATTTACTTTTGTGTGTGGTTATCAATTCCAGAGAAGTAACTTGCAATTTTTGAGAGGTTGATATCAAGGCCAAACATTGAGCAGAAGAGAACAAGTGCAGATTTCAGGACTGAAACTGAGGTAATGTCTCCATGGCACATTAATAACAAGTTATCTACATAGGACAAGTAAGTGATTTTTTGTTCTCGATAACTCCAATGGTATTTGAAAGAGGACACCCTTTCCACATAGTTGCTTACAATTGATGAGAAAACATCCATAATAATG